CGACACCAGAAACGGTCTCAGGGACCGATCACCAAGATGCTAATACTGATATAGTACCGGTGGGAGAAAGAGCCACGCTACCTGACGCAATGTCTACTTCTTCTCCAGTGAATGGACGTCCGGTGGCTCCAGCGTCACGTCGTTCTCTTGGCGGCGTACGGTCGTGGCCACGCTGTCAGACCTCTAACTCGGATCGACAATCGCTGCGTCCAAATGTATCGCTTTCTGTGGTTGTACGCATTTCGCAGCCCCTTGCACGCTTCCCGGAGCAGGTAGCCAGGTGGGCTTCGCTCTACATACTCCTTTTACTCTTCGTGGTGCGAGCAAGTGCTGGATTCAAATCCTGAACAATCGACTTTCATCTCCACTGCCGCCGAAAAACACTTGCTGTGTCAAGTTCATCCGAGCTTTCGCGAACTTCCGGGAACCGGATCATCCGTGGCAGATAGCTTGTCGTTTGATTCCTTCACACGCTTGTCGCGTTGGAATTGAAGAATTCGATGTCGACTCTCACGTTTCGCAGCAAGCTCCTCCACTGCGTCGTTTTAAAGGATATTGACGTAAGCTTCGTTAGGATGACCCCGAAGATGACTCTGATCTTGGATTCTCACTCTGGAAACCAAATCACTGGTCTGCAGCTCGCACCATTGAGCTCGGCTTGGAGGCTGGTAACCGAGCTCTCGTCGAAGACACCACACTCTCGAACAATGCTAAAAGCCGCCATCAAGCTTGATTTAGACGACGCCAGGGCGGCCTGGGATGAAAATGGCATCGGCCGGACCAAGCGTGCTGATCAACGTCGCGTCAAGATCATTAGCAACGTGTAGAACTGGTGTGTCAGCGCTGAGTCCCGTTCGGTGATATCATTCCTGAAATTTTGTTTGAGCCGTCGATACCTGGCTATTTTTTTTTTCGAATATCTGACTTGGATACCTCCGTCTTGAACACATTCCGGCGTTGGACACCGCCGAACCATGGCGTATTGGATGGGTTGACACACCTGATCTGCACCCGTACAACACGACACCCGCACCATGTAATGTCGGATTTCTGCTGTTCATTCCTGCTGGTGAAACCCGTGAGTCGTAATAATCCACAAGAAACATTTGACATCGGCTATTATGTACGTTCGCCATCATTAATTCACTTCACCTTCAGCTCGACGACAAATTTTCGAGTAGTCGTCCTGAGTGGTGTCCTGTCATCAAGAATCACTTCAGCTTCATACTCGCCTGCTGGTTGGTCTGGTAGCTAGCTATCTTTAGGAAGCAATTATTCGTCGAAGTCGAATCTTGAGTCATTGGCGACACCCTCCATCAGCATTACCGTAAGCATACCCTCGTATTCATAAACCGGGTTCAGTCTGGAAACATGCACTACAGGATAAACCTGTATTCGCTCTTGCCCGGCAATTCGAGTTCATACGCAAACACTTCCACCTTCTTCATCATCCGGAAGGGTCCGTACCAGCCGTGGACGAGTTCCTTGATGTATCCGGGCTTGACGCGCTCTAGGTAAAACCAAAATTGACTGCCAGGTTCGAAGTCTGACTTCGGTGCTTCGCTGCTGTTTTCCTGAAAGGTTTGCGAATCATCATCGCAATGCTATGTGGATTCGCGCTGTACAGCCCAAGGCAGCAGCCGCTCGTTCTTCGCGACTCAGAGCCTTGTTAAGCTTTTCAGCTCTTCGCGTCTTCTCCGTAGCTTGATACTCCTTCGCCGTCTCCAGCGCAATTTTGTGCTGTCTGTTTACTTCTCGACGTCACGCTAATTCATCGGATTGTCTGCTGCCCCCCCCCCCACGAATCGACACCGTCATGAGTTTGATTAGCGTGTGACCGTCCCATCCATGCACAAGGTAGAAATGTGTAACTTTCCGCGTTGTATCGTTCGAGTTGCTGATGGCAAACACCAATCGCTCAAATTTTTTGTCCCAATCTCGCTGCAGCGGACTTTAAGTATACTCCAGCCAGCTGGATTACGGTCTTCACCGTGGTCAAGTTGCAGCGGGCTGAGGCTCTAAATTGGGTTGAGAGGGCGACCTGTGCAGAATTTGGGACAGTAAGCTAGGAAAAACACCCGCAAGAGGCGCAAGCGACTCTACTTTTGTCAAGGCTGCGTTCAAGAGACGCAAGGTTGTCAAGCGCTCCCTCTTCGTGAGTGTTGGCTACATTCCACCGACTTCGAATGAGTGACAGCGCTTCTTTCCTTCGACCAAGCTCGTGCTGTCAGACCTATGGAAGCGAATAACCCCAGAAGCTAACAATGCAGATGTGTCTGGTGTACAACAGCGAAGTGTGGAAAGTGAACATTGTTGATGAGGTACGTTCCAGAATAGGGAGGAATAATACGAAAATTGTATTATTAATTTCTCCTCTTGACGAGAAAGTATGAATCTATGTATTGGATTCTCGGGACCCCTGATGTAGCCTCCCGTTTAAATATATGGTCCTTGCTTAAAATGACCTCTTCACTCTACCTTTATATACTATAGAAACAAATTTAATTTACTTGCTTCTAAAAGGACGCTTTTTCGATCTTAACAAAATCACGGTACTCGTTTTGGATTACTTTTTTTTTAACAAATTAAAAAGGATAGCATGATGCTGCAATATCATGCATGAATCTGACTTGAAAAACGTATACTTGGATGATTACGAATCCTACAGTATATATATCAATGCCCCACACGACGGTTCACGACCAGTGGGACATCCGTAATAGAAAAACGCCTTTAGAGACTGGCTTTTACTGTAAAAGGGTGTTTTTTTTCTCACTCTTTTGCCACGAAAGTCTTTTTTGTTAATTGGACTAATGCAACCAGGTAATGATGAGCTCCGAGGCCTACTGACGCGCTGTTTGAGAAACAAGAAGCCCGATGTTTGATAGTTGCAAATTGGGGGCAGTGCAGCTACTTACATTTTTTGTGTCAAAAGCGGAAAAGCAAGAAAGCGCGAACATCACGTGAGGGGCCGTTCCTCAGATATCCCTCCAGTACGGTCGGATTCCGCCTCATTGATCTTCACTCTAGTACTCTTGTTAAGTCAAGGAGCGTTACATGTTAATGAACAGTGGACTGTCGATGGTGATTGTGCGGACAAGCTTTTGCTTAAAGCACACAGTGGTGTGTTGCCAATACATTGAGGCTCGCGTTCGTGTCGGAATCACAAGGCTGGTCGACAAGTGGCGATGCTTCTGGTCCGGTTGGAAGCGAGATACTAACGGAGAACCGACAATGCAACGTAGATTCTAGTATATTGGGGGATAATAAAACACATCCTGCTTTGTTGATACGGAAGAGATGACATCAAGGAAGACTTGGCGTGGTTTTTGCGTGACTGACGCAATCTTAAGTCGACACCAGCGTAATAAAGGTCAGCTCGACGATGCAATGGAAGACACGTCTCCTTCGTGCTATTGCAAGTCTGGCTAGGTCAAATTTAGACAAAACCCTGGTTAGTTTGAATGCACCAGCAAATGCCTGAAGATGTTTTCCTTTTTGCCGCTTCACGCAACCGCGGCGTGCCAACGTGGTTGGGGTTGTTATGCAGCTAAAACCTATTTTATTGCCACGACATGCATCTTATCGAAGGCGGTCAAGACCACTCTTGCCAATCCGAATCCTGGTAAATGAATGCAGACCATGCAAGTAGAAATCGGGTCAATAATGGAGAAACATATTTGGGTCCTAGTCAACCGTCCTCCAAAAACCAAAGACATGCCAAGTCGCTAAGATTTTGGTATAAAACTAAGCTAGCAGGGAGCGATAGAAGGCTACAAAGCTCGTTTGAATATTCGAGGCTCTGAACAAGCATTTAATGTGGCCTTTTGGGAGGTATACGCCCCAGTCGTGTCGATGAAAGCATGGCGGACATGTTTCTTAATTTCCACTGCTACCACATTGACTTCACAACGCCCTTAAAAAGCGGAGCCATAGACGTCAAAGTGTACATGAAGCAGCCCAGGCCGTTCAATGATGACAGTGGTTGTGTCTGGCTACGACAGCAATCCGTTTTATAGTCAAATCAAGCACCTTTAATCTGGCATGCCACGTTAAAATATTTTTGGTGCAGTTTGAATTCAAAGCAAATGTTATTGCTGATAGAATTTAACTGGACGTAGCAAATTGGTTGATGGGAGAGCTGAACAAGTAATCCAAGCTCAAAGATGTTCGTCAGTGACTTACCTGCCATGGACCTGGACGTACAGTCGAATGTTGTGATATTTTCACAGGAGGCGTACATTCAGTATCCTCTCAAGCCGTTAGATATCTGCGGATATTGGCATTGCTTGCGTCCAATATAAATGAAGGACAAACCGGCTAGTCCGGTATAGCCGTATAATAAAACATTCGATTGGAAAGACTTGTCTTATAGGCAAATGGCTGAGTCTTTCACTTATCTAGTTCGCTGCAATCGCT